CGTGATTTATTATTGGATAGTTTCACGTGATCGAAAAAATTTTATTAGTATTTTGGTGGCGATCCAGGGGAAGTTGGATTTAATGTTACCGTTCTGATAAGCGAATTTCGTTATCGCTCCTTTTCATTTTATACCATATTCGGTGACATCACACCAACCTTCTATTACTATTTTCATAATCATGAAGTCTCGGGAAACTCTATTCACAGATTCAACTTTTAAGCTTACTGTACCTAACGGTGTAGTAAACTGTACCGAAGAAGAATTTGAAAACATTTTTACCTCGACGGAAAGAACACAAGCATTTTATGGTATACAATTTTTATTCAATTGTATTAATTGTATTCTGCTTCGGATCTAAAGGTGACTATCTAACGTATGTCATTTTATAAAAAAGACGAACTCCTCTACTTTTATCTTCATATCTGTCTTCCCAATGATTCTAGCATTACTGATAAAGAAGCAGCCACATTGTTTTTCCAACAACTTGAAATATTCGTTGAAGCATTAATCATCGATGCAAATGCATCTACTGCTTCGAATCCACTTCCCGCTCCTCCGCCAGTATATCGTTTACCTCCGGGTAAATCTCGTGAAACTTCTACAGCGACTTCGCCCTCGATACCAGGTACTCCTTTACCACCACTCATGGACAAGAGACCATCTAAACCACCAGATGGTACAATAATATATTCTTATTTATATAATCAAAAATCGAAGGATCGTCAGATGTTGGTCTTTGAAAGGAATGGATCATGGTCATGTTTGGTACCATTGGTAGTTCCCGTAGGTAAGTCTTGAAATTTTGTTTTTAATTTCGGATATCATTTAATTATTTTAAATTTGAGTATCCTATGACAGGTTTTGTTGAAAAAAAAAAAAAACAGAGTTCAAACATTTATTATTTTATATATAATTAGCTTATGTAAAAACTCGTGCTCAGACTCCGGCACTAGCACTTAATACAACTATTACGCAAGTTCCTCTATCGGAAGAATTAAAAGATTCTGGAAAGATATTTGATCTTGAAGCGTCTAATGGTGAGAACTTTGGCATGACGAATTTGTTAGAAGGCTTAAATTATGGTTAGTTGAAGACGTTTTAAACAATCTATTCTTTATATATAATCATCCAATTATATTCACCTAAAAAAACTTGTTTAAATAATGGTTAAAAGATCCTTCATTCGAATCTCCTACAGCAAGTTTACTGCTCCCAACAAATCGCCTGTTCAACAATGAAAATAGACGTTCGTCTTTAAATTTAAACCAAAATTCTTCACCCCCATTGAAACAGAGTATACGTAAAGTTTTATCTTTAAAGTCAGCGCTCAATGTACGCATGCGAACTACTAGTGTGTCTCCTTTAGATCATGTGTTAATGATGTCCGTCGAATTGGAGAATAACACCGATGCAGGTTGCTCATTTTCCGTTGAGGAAGTTAAAGTAGATATTGATCATGGCTTTGTGACAAGATACGATTTTGAATCTGCGAATAAGCAATCGGTAATAATCTTTAATAAATTAATTATTATTACTATTTTTTGAAAAACATTAAAAGGATGATACTTACAAATTTAGATAATGGTCATCCCAGGATAAATTTCCAATAACGCTTCATCCTGTCGACCAAGTTACGTTTTTATATAGTATTACTATTTTAGAAGATCTATCACTTCCAAAATTGTCTTCCCAATTTTGTCCCACGCCACAACCTCATTCTAGACCAACATCTCGTCGTACCTCCGTATCATCAGTATTTTCGATCACCTCTGGTTCACCTATTACAGAAGAACGTCAACGTCACGTTTCAATTATTGCAAAAGGATCACCGATTCTCGATGGAATTAAGTGTCGGAGCATTGAATCAAGGTGGAATTGCATGCTAGATCTAACTAATCTACGAAGACGTGAAGATTCTTTGCCGTTGCCTATGCCAATCAATCCAAGTCAAAAATCTATGGCACAGACAAAATCTGGACAATCTAGGAGCAGCACTTTATTTTCACCCACCGGTTCATCAACACCAAGCAATTTTAAGGGGTTTCATTCAACATCAGACTCTAATGGAAAGATTAAAAAAGTAGCAAATCTTCCCACCATACCTAACCACAGTACGATTGGTAATGGTATTCTCACTGGGGGCAGAGCTCCTATGACTTCCAGACCTATGGAGATGGAAGTTGGTGATGGTGTTGTCGTTTCCTTCTTGGGTAAATGCAAAAAAAAAAAAAAATCTGATTATATTTAATGTATTATACATCCAATCTTATTAATCTTTTATTAAATTTCAGTTAGCTCCAAAGTTGTTTTGGGTAAGCTGTTCACAATACATATTTTCTTCGTCAACAGATCAAAGCACGTAAGACGATTTACTGTAGTGGTGCCCAATAAAAAACGGCCAAATGAAAAGTAAGATTTAACATATATTATTATTCTATATTTTATTTATATTTTGCTTTGTCCTTATATTATTAATTACTTTTAATATTGTTAGGGCAATCAAAAACATACCAGTACCACCAGCAACGGTAAAACTGCAAAATTCAGCAGACCTGCTTATAAGTGGTAGTCAAGCAAACCAATTAGAGCCATTTTTGGAGGAAGCGGGTAATTGATTATTTTACAAGAAAAAACTTAAATTTATTAGTATTAAAATGATATTTTATGCATTTTAAAGATTTCATAAGGAAATATCTAGAGCATGAAACTCCAGACTCTGATATTATTTGTTTGGAAAATAATGTTCGGATCGGGTAAGAGCATAAATTTTATTTGCATTTTTTTCATATCAGCTCATTCACATTTATTTATTTATATTAACTGTATTAAACTTAGGCCATTGAACCCTTCAACGTGCGAATCAGTTGCATTACATTTCATTGCTATCAAAGAATCAATGCATATTATTGATTTAGTTCAACTTGTGGATAACGATACTGGCTTCATAACGAATCTTAGAAATGTTTTGGAAATTTACGTTGCAAAGACAGTTACACCTAAAAAGGGAAAAAAAATTCTTGATATTGCAAATGGTGGTATGGAAGTACAGGTTAATGGATAATGCGACGATTTTACCGTTTCTGATATTTTAAATGATTTCAAATACGTTATGATAATTAATTGGGCAATACTGTTTGGCGTTTCCTATCCCTACCAATGTGTTAAAGACATTCATAATTATTTTTGTTCATGTAAAATAAAGTATCATTATAATACAAAATGGGTTGTTGCCTACATATGACTTATGTGCATTTAAATATTGATAGAAATCGACTATAAATAATTCTTTAGTAAATTAATCTGTTGATTAATCTTAGACTTAAATTCGGATTTTTCGAGAAATTTGTTCAATCATACGTGTAATTTGTTCATAATATAATTCGAATGATTGTTACTATTCTCCATTTTCAATTGGTTAATTTAACCGACTAATAAAATTGAATAGTTGATTTTAGTCGACGCAGTCGAATATGATAAAGTTTTACTATTCGAAATTTGCAACACAATTAATCTCTCTATATACAATAAATAGTAAATATAATTAAGAGGTAATTCATATATTATATACAGTTAGACCTCTCTAAATGCATAACCGTGGGCGGCCAAAAAATGTTGCATTTAGAGAGGTATTGCATTTAGGGAGGTAAAAATCTATAAGTGTTATATGAGTTGGGGCCAAACAAGGCCATGCATTTAGAAAGACTATACAGTTGGAGTACATTTAGGGAGGTCTGACTGTATATATAATTACTAGCTAACTCATGCATTTATAGTAAAAATTATAATGGATACTGTATTATGCATCTTTAGTAATACTAATTATTTTAGCAAATATGGGGTTAGTAAAAATACACCATGAAATTTTTTTATATTTTAAACAAAAATAACTCAACAAAAACTTAGTCAAATCTAGTAAAAATTTTTTAAATAATTTTTATAAGGTTGAAATTATTTTAAAAAAAAATTTTATTAAATTTGATTAAGTTATTGCTAAATTATTTTTGTTCAAAGGTTTAAATTTTTTTGTTAACAAAAAAAAAAAAATATAGTTATAATTTACTGCCTTATTATTTTATTAATGAAATATAGTACAGATAACCAGTAGTGATCATCACCACCCCTAGATATATTTAGGGTTAGAGCTAGGGTATTAAGAATTTTTTTATATATATATAATATAATATAGAGCTACTATAAGGGCCTAATCTTAATTCTTGTAAAGTTTTTGGGAATCCTAAACATTTTTACTTAGAGAACCCAATCTCATTTATTTAGTATATTTTTGAGATATAATCACCCTGGTAATGATCACCATTGGTTATAGTTAGTAAGATTCTTTATTAATAAAGTATAGTTTTTAATTTGTTAAATATATTAAAATATATTTTTAATACATATTTAGAAGTTTTTAACTGTTTGAAATATAGCTAGGCTCTTAAAGTAACTTCTCTAAAGATACCAAGAGTGCCTACTTGAAAGACACCAATTTGGAAGTAATACAAGAACTGAATTAGAAGTAATGTGATAAGTGATGAGAGATAGAAGTTGGTTGGTATAGTAGTATATAAGCAGAATATATATAATAATATAGATTTGGAAACTATCTGGTGAGTTAGTAACTGGTTTGGTTGTAGAGTGGTTATTAAGGAGATAAAATCCTATATAGCAGATCACATATAGGTACTAATTTAGTAACTAGATGAGCTAATACTTATAATATACATTAGAGAGTTGTAATTGTATATGTAATATTTGTAACCAAAATATCTTAGTATTAATTTAATAAATAGTATTGGCAAAACTGCCAAATTAAAAAATATATATATATATAATAATAGTTTTTTAATATATAATTAGAAAATCAGAGATGTGGTGACTTAGTGTAGTAGTCTAGTTGTCACCCTCTCCAAGTGGCAGGTTCAGAGTTTGAATCCTACAGATGACAATATTTAAAAAATAGGCCTGTGTTCGGTTGACAGCTATACTTATTGGTTGGATCTAAAACTAAATTTGTAACTTCGATCACACTATCTAATAATAGGAGCTTTGACGCAATAAACCCGAGGAACTGGTATAACCAAAAACCTATTTGGGAAGTTCTGAATTTGGATGTAACAGTGATCTTCAACAGTACCACAGAAGAGCTAAATTTGAATTGGAGCCCAAAATTAAAGAACCAAGCAATTAGATTCTTAAGTGGGAGACACACTAGCTAAACCACTGGGCTGACACATTGAAGGAAAAGAGCATATACTTTGAAAGTATGGACCAAAAAAAGGGTGTCCTTCAGGCACCTAAAGCCTAAGCAGACTAACCTATTCAGGTTGCTGGCTGGAAATAAGGGAGGGACCAATAGAGAATCTGAATAAAGAGACAGTTCCAAGTGTAAGTACTAGGGTTGTTGTGAACCAATTAAGAGCAATAAGTATGTAATGGGAAACTAATTAGGAAGATTGTAGCTTGAGATACAGATCAGATTACAGCAGTGCTCTAAAGAGTAGCTTAAGATATGAACTCGGGGTTGGTAGCACAACAGATACTGACTAGGAAGATATTACAGAACATGCAGGTGAATGCATATATAGAACATGTACTGCTCTGTTGGACTTACCTTTGAGAATAGTAAAGTGTTCTAAGTTGGCTAGAAATATGTAGTGGTATTGCAAAACCTACGTTTGAATAGTAAGTTACACTTGCATTAGGTAATATTAGGCTAAATATGTTAAGATTAGAAGGTTTAAATGGTAATCCCCTAGTTGGGTTACAGGTACAGCAGATAGTGTAAAACCTTTGGGCAGACTACTTAAATTAGATACCAAAAGTGCATGTGTGGCTTGATACATCTTTGTCACAATATATAGTATCTAACTTTGCTTAATAAACTCTTGCCAACCAAGAAGGTCTCTTTTAATTAAAAAAAAAAAAAAATCAAAAAATCTAAAGTTATACAAGTTAGATATAGTAATTGTTATAAAAACAATATTTTAATTTAAAAAATTCTAGATATCTCTAGCTAAAGATGTTTAGCTTACACATTTTTGACCCAAAACTATATTCAATTTTAATTAGGATTAGAGTTATATTGTGTTGGTTGAAAATAAGTAATATACTTTTTTGATATTTTTAATTAGTACTTCAAAATAGATTTAGATAACTATTTTTTATATTTTTTACAATTTTTTACTTTTTTATTTTTTTGTTGTTTTTGTTTTGTTAGACGGATCTGTAATAATTATCTTTTGTATTACTTTTGTACTATACAAAACAGCTCTTATATGATTTGTTTGTTTTTTAATTAGCTCCTAGGCTCAAAATATTATTATTAGATATCTCAAGCTAGAGGTGTTTAGAAGTATTCTTTTAATTTTAGAAAATTCTAAATATCTCTGATTAAAGATAATATTTTGAATTTAATAGCCAATTAAAATTTCAAAAAAGCATATAATGCTTATTTTTATATAATATAAAAGATAATTATTATGAATTAGTCTGATAAAACAAAACAACAAAAAAAGGCAAAGAAGTAAAAAATATAAAAAATATCAAAAATGGCTATTTAAATCTATTTTAAAATACTAATTAAAAATATTGACAAGATGATTTTAATAAAATTTGTTTTTCTTTAATTCTATATAACTATATACTAATTAAAGGGATCTCTTGCAGTATAGGTTATACTTTTGGTAGATATTCCGAAGTATCTAAAAAATACAAAAATTACCTGCAACTTATTCAAAATTATGTAAATTACACAAAATCTAAGTTTGGATTAAATTCAGCACTTAGAACATACTAGTCCTAAGATGATCTAAATGTGTAAGTAGATTAGATTACTTGTAAATTTAAACTTTAAAATTTATTGTTATAAAAACTTAAACTTTTAAACTTTGAATTCTTTTTACCTAAACTTTCTTTGACCAAGTTGAATATATATATTAATATATACTAATAGAATTTTTCTTGAATAGAAATTAACTCTTGGTTGATCTAATAGAATTATGAGTAGATTTTGAAATTTTCTTTGATCACAACTCTTTCTGACTCTTTTTGGTGTGTGTACAAAGAGAACTTTGATTTTTTAAAACTCTTTTTTGACCAAGAACTCTCTTTAACCGGGTAGGTGCATATTAAATGTTCTTTGATTGGTTTTTTGGATGACCAAACTCTGACCGCTAAATTATGTTTTTTTTTTAGAATAGAAATTAATTCTATGGATATAACTCTGGACATTAGTTGGTCATGACAGTTGTGTGTGGGTGGGGCACATAACACACACACACTTTAGTTGGCTCTTTGAAACTTTTATTTGACCGATCTAATAGAATTATGTGGATTTTGAATTTTTTTTTAATTACAACTCTCTTGGTGTGTATACAAAGAGAACTTTGATTTTTTAAAACTTTCTTTTGACCAAGAACTCTCTTTAACCAGGTGGGTGTATACTAAATATTCTTTGATTGGTTTTTTAGAATTTGCTTTGACCAAACTCTGACCGCTAAATTATGTTTTTTTTTTAGAATAGAAATTAATTTTATAGATGTGACTCTGAACATTAGTTGGTTATGACAGTTGTGTGCGAGTGGGGCATATAATACACACACTTTAGTTGGCTCTTTGAAACTTTTATTCAACCAATCTAATAGAATTATGTGGATTTTAAATTTTTTTTTGATCACAACTCTCTTGGTGTGTGTACAAGGAGAACTTTGATTTTTTAAAACTCTCTTTTGACCAAAAACTCTCTTTAACTGGGTAGGTGTATACTAAATATTCTTTGATTGGTTTTTTGGAATTCACTTTGACCAAACTCTTGAACTGCTAAATTATAATTTTTTAGAATAGAAATTAATTCTAAAGTATAGACGTGACTCTGAACATTGGTTGGTCATGACAGTTGTGTGCGGGGTGAGCATATAACACACACTTTTCACTGGTCGAAATTAAAACATTCAGTAATAAATTGGTAATAATTCAGTAACAATTTAGTAAATATTCAACAACTATTCAGATACCGATTCTTGCCACTTAGCTACCACTCAGCAAAAATTCAGTAATATATTA